ATTGAGTTAAAATACCAAATCTTGTATGGTCCCTATTCTATGCTAAATATATATATTTCTATATTTGTGACATTTTCTTCTGCAAGTAACTTAAAATTCTACTTCAGGCAGATAGGTCTGGAAGTTTAAGAAATATTTATCAATTTTCAAGATTATATTTTAAATTACATGGTTTGGGGAAAATTAAAGTCATAAAAATCAAAAATTTAAAGCAGAAGTTATAATCAAGTTCACAAAAGAGTTTTCCTTTGTCCTTTGACTTACAGACCATCTTTTGTGTAAATCTAGGTATGCTTGGGTTTATGACATGCCTAATGATAGATGTTTTTAAAAGGTACTTTGTATTAAGTGAATAGTTGTGGTTTCTTTGTGAGACTAGAGTATTGAAGATTATAGTAAATTTTGGTTCGGAGGGGACCACAGTACTAAGACATGTAAGTTGACAGATCTGCAGCATGAAGTCAAGGAAAAATGGATCTGTGGCAGGGTATGTGGAAAACGAGCCATTCCTGTATTTAGACTGGGCATAAAGATAGCCCAGATTTTTCCTTAAAAGAGGGCATAAAATAGTTGATACCTAAACTTAGTAAATTACAATTATAAGGATAAGAAACAAATTTCTTTATGAATTCATTAGAAATGTAGTCAGAATTTTATTGTGAAAGAATCGTGTGAACTTTCTAATTCCCTTTTCTCCAATTTATTTAGATCAGTTGTTCCATGTATTAGCCTTGCACATGCGGCTCTATAGCATTGATACTGAGTATAATCCCTGGAGAAAACTCACTCAATTAATAGAAGGCATGAATTCACAGTAAGTATTATTGAAAGATTAATGTCAATTACAACTATTCTTTATAAATAAGTATAAAAATAGGATTAAAACTTTTTTATGAATGCATGAATTTTTTTTTATTTTCACATTTTCCTTATGAGACACAGAAATACAAAATAAAAGTTGAAAACAGTTTACCATTATGTTGTTGTTAGGTGCTGTCAAGTTGGTTCCAACTCACAGTGACACTATATGTAACAGAACAAAATACTGCCTGGTTCTGCACCATCTTCACGATCCCACAGTCGTTGCTGTGTTTGAGCCCATTGTTGCAGCCACTGTATCAGTCCATCATGCTAAGAGTCTTCCTGTATTTTTCTCTAACCCTGTACTTTACTGTGGGTGATGTCCTTCTCTAGGGACTGGTCCTTCCAGATAACATGTCCAAAGTACGTGAGAAAAGTTTCACTGTCTTCACTTCTTAGGAGTATTCTTCTTTACTTCTTCCAAGATATATTTGCTCATTCTTCTGACAGTCAGTGGTATGTTCAGTATTCTTTGCCAATACTATAATTCAAAGGCATCAGTTCTTCTTTGGTCTTTCGTATTCATTGTGCAGCTTTTCCATGTATATGAGGCAGTTGAAAATGCCATGGCTTGGGCCAGGTGCACCTTAGTCATCAAAATGTTATCTTTGCTTTTTAACACTTAAAAGGTTTTTTTAGGGGGGCAGGGAGGTGGAGCAGATTTGACCAGTGCAGTACATCCTTTGATTTCTTGACTGCTGCTTCCATGGGCATTGTCTGTTAATCCAAGTAAAATGAAATCCTTGACAACTTCAGACTTTTCTTCATTTATCATGGTGTTGCTTGTCAAGTTTTGAAGATTTTTCTTTTCTTTATGTTGAGGTAAATTGATACTGAAGACTAGTCTTTCATCTTTATCAGTAAGTGCTTCAAGTCCTCTTCACTTTCAGCATGCAACATTGTGTTGTTGGCATATCGTAGGTTGTTAATGAGTCTTCTTCCAATCCTGATGCTGTATTTGTCTTCAGATAGTCCAGCTTCTTAGATTATTTGCTGAGCATATAAATTGAATAAGTAAGGTGAAAGGATACAACCCTGATGCATACCTTTCCTCATTTAAACCATACAGTATCTCCTTATTTTGTTTGATAACTGCCTTTTGGTCTACATATAGTTTCCTCGTGAGCACAACTAAGTGTTCTGGAATTCCCATTCTTCACAATAGTACCCATGATATGTTATGATCCTCAGAGTCAAATGCCTTGGCATAGTCATTAAAACACAGGTAGTCATCTTTCTGGTATTCTCTGCTTTCAACCAAGAGCCATCTGACATCTTCAATAACATCCCTCATTCCATATCTTCTGAATCTGGTGTGGATTTTTGGAAGTTCCCTGTCAATGTACTGCAACTAGTCTTTTAAAATTATCTCCAACAGAATTTTATTTGAGTGTGCTACTAATGATTTTGTTTGATAATTTCCCCATTTTATTGGATCACCTTTGTTTGGAATGGGCACATACATGGATCTCTTCCAGTTGCTTGGCTAGGTAGCTGTCTTCTGAATTTCATGACATAGCCAAGTGAGTGGTTCTGCCTTGCATTCGTTTGTAGAAGTATCTCAGTTGGTATTCTGTCAGTTCCTAAAACCTTGTTTTTTGCCAGTACCTTTAGTGAAGCTTAGACATCTTCTTCCAGTACCATTGGTTCTTGATTGTATTTTGTCTCCTGAAATGGTTGAATGTTGACCACTTCTTTTGGTATAATGACTTCGTGTATTCCTTCGATCTTCTCTTAATGCTTCCTGTGTCATTCAATATTTTGCCCATAGAATCCTTCAATACTGCAACTCAAGACTTGAATTTTTCTTCAGTTCTTTTAGCTTTGGAAATGTTGAGTATGTTCTTCCCTTTTGGTTTTCTAACTCCATTTCTGTGCACATTTTATTATAATCCGTTGTCAAGCTGCCTTTTGAAAACTGTTCACCTCTTTCACTTCATCATTTCCTCCATTTGCTTTAGCTGCTATATGTTCAAGCAAGTTTCAGAGTTTCTTTTGACATCCATTTTGGTCTTCTCTTCTTTTCCTGTCTTTTTGCTTTCATTACGTGTGATGTCCTTGATGTCATCTGACAACTGTCTAGTCTTCCAGTTGTTAGTTTCCAATGCATCATATCTATTCGTGGGATGGTCTCTAAATTTCCCTGGGATATATCTTTGAGATGTAATTTGGCTCTCAAGGGCATGGTTTAATTTCCTTCAGCTTCAATTTGAATTTACATTTCAGAAATTGTGGTCTGTTGCACAGTTGGCCCCTGTCCTTGTTCTAACTACTGACATTGAGCTTCTCCATTGTCTGTTTCCACATATGTAGTCAATTTGAGTCTATTTCATCTCATGAAGTCCATGTGTATAAAGTTACCATTTATGTTGTTGCAAAAATGTTTTTGCAGTGAGTAAGTTATTTGACTTGCAAAATTCTATCGTGTAATCTCTGGTGTTTTTTCTGTCATCAAGACCATATTTTCCGACTACTGATCCTTCTTCTTTGTTTCCAACTTTCACATTACAATCACTAAGAGTTAGCACTGCATATTCATTGCATGTTTGATTGATTTCATAATGCAGAAATTGATTTTTTAAAAAAATCTTCAATAGTTTCATCTTCAGCATTAGTGGTTAGTGCGTTAGCTTGAATAATAGTCATATTAATTCGTCCTCCTTGTAGGTATATGAGTATTATCCTATCACTGCAGCATTGTGCTTTGGGATAGATCTTGAAATGTTCTTTTTGACATTGAATGTGTTCCTCTTCAAATCATCAATCTGAGCATAGTAAACCATATAATTCTCTGATTCAGAATGGCCAGTAGCAGTCCATTTCAGCTCACTAATGACTAGGATATCAGTCTTCAAGCATTCCATTTCATTTTTCACAACATCCAATTTTCCTAGGTTCATAATTTGTACATTCTATATTCTGATTACTAATGGATGTTTGCAGCTGTTTCTTCTCATTTTGGGTTGTGCCATATTAGCAAACGAAGGTCCCGAAAGCTTTATTCCATTCCCATCTTTAAGATTGACTCTACCTTGACGAGGCAGTTCTTCCTCAGTCATATTTTGAATGCCTTCCAATGAGAGGGGCTCATCTTCTGGTTCTTGATCGCACAGTGCTGCGCTCCTATTCGTAAGGTTTTCACTGGCTAGATTTTTTTTAGAAGTAGGTCACCAGGTCCTTCTCCCTAGTCTGTCTTAGTCTGGAAGCTCCACTGAAACCTGTCCACCATGGGTGACCCTGCTGATATTTGAAATACCAGTAGCATAGCTTCCAGCATCACAGTAACACGCAAGCCACCACAGTATGTCAGAATGACAGATGTGTGGTGGTTACTCTTATACTCTAAAAATTACATAAATGATCCTAGCAAATGAGAGAAGCTGTCTTAAAATTTTAATGATTTTCATTCGGATAAATCATTCCAATGGAGCTTCAAATGACTGCTTTTTCTTCTTTTTATATCTGAATTGATCAGTTCATTCAGGTGGACTTTGATCACTCTGTTAGAAAGTTCTCCATCAACCTTTCATCGAGTAGTTTTAGCAGCCAATGATATTGCCTACCTAAATCCAGTATTTCATTAGATGCCGCAAAGAATTATTGTTTTAAACAAATAACCTCTTTTGATTTATTAGCTGGGAGTTTTCTATAAAGAAACTATCATACATTAACTATTTGGTTATCCCAAAATATAGCTTGGCAAGATGAATACTTGATTCTTTCCCAATTTATTAATTTCCAAAGGCATGTATTGATGCCCTAGCTACTTCTACTAGCAACTGGTAAGTTTTGGTTACAGTAGGTTGGTTGTTTTTGATCTCTTGGATTTTTATGTTTGATGTGTTTCAGCCCAGTGTAGTTACTCTTCTTTTTAATGATAATAGTGCCATTTTAAGTTACTGAGAATCTCTTCAGGTTGAGTTTTATGTTACTTTTGGCATGACACAGGTAGTTTTGTTTGACTTTTTTGTTACCTTTGGCATAATGCAGGTAGTCTTTGATAATATCCTTGCTTTCTGGCACAACAAGCTGATGCAAGTTCATCTTGTACATTTTCCACCCTAGCCACACTGTTGTTGTGTGCCACTGAGTTGATTATGATTCATAGCGACTCTATAAGACACAGTCGAACTGATGCCTCATGGGGTTTCCCAGCCTGTAATGTTTACAGGAACAGATCACCAGGTCTTTTCTCCCTAGAATCACATTTGGGTTCAGCTACTAACTTTTCACATAGCAGCCATGTGCTTAGCTGTTGTGATGCCAGGGCTCCTTACTCCAGACATAGATCCAGTCATTTATCAGAGTCTTTATGACATAGAACAAAAAAAGCACTAGAGTTACTAGATGGAAGCATACAAATATTTTAAAACTTTAGTAATTTGTTTGATAAATATTCAGAATATCAGCTACTGTTATACATAGTACAACATGCTTTTCAGAAATATTGTACCAATATATATTTCCACTGGCAATTTAAGAATGTTCCCATTCCCCTCATTCTTAACTATTATTACATTGAAAACTTTTTTTGGCTGATATGTTAGATACAGAATGGGATGCCACCATTGAACATGATGAACATATTTAATGTCACTGAATTGTACATTGTTGAAATGGCAAATGTGTTTTTATCTACATATTTACTTCAATTAAAAAAAAAAACAAACATATGAAACACACTAGTCCCTAATTAGCTAACTGAAGTTTCAAATCTATGATAGGTAGATGTACACAACACAATTACTGGTTCTGAAACCTTTTAAGTAAAGTTAAACCTAACCAAACTCACTGCCTGCCATCCAGTCAGATCTGACTCAGCAACCCCTCCCTGGGTTTCCAAGGTGGTATCACTGCAGAAGTACATTGCCCAACCTTCCTTCTGAGGAGCAGCTCTCAAAGTAATAGAAATCTAATTGATTTCTGGTGACATGAAGTATTTCCTTATCTACT